GGATCCCAAGGTACTTGTAGCTGTCTTCAACATCTGCTATGTTGCCTTCTGGTAGTACAATCCCCTCAGTTCTGACTACCGTCCCTCTCCTCGTTACCATTCGGCCACACTTATCCAGTCCGAATGACATTCCGATGTCCTGGCTGTAGATCCTAGTGGTGTGGATCAGTGAGTTGATGTCTTATTCACTCCTGGCATCCAGCTTGATGTTATCCATGTAGAGGAGGTGGCTGATGGTTGCTCCATTCCGTAGTCAGTATCCGTAACCACTCTTGGTGATGATCTGGCTGAGGGGGTTCAGCCCTATGCAGAACAGCAGCTGACATTGAAGCTTCGAGTAATGAACCATGTTTTTGAATTCTGTGTCGAAGCTTTAACAAAGCCTCAATCAGCCATCACTAGGCACATGCCATCGACTGAAAAAAATTCAGATAAACCTAGAAAATGGCGAGCTCAATCCGTAAACCATCTGGTAACAAGCATAACATGGTGCAGAAACAGGAAGTGAGTATGATTACAACAGCAAGAACAGGAAAAAGCAGTCCAGGCTACTCCACCAAAAGAAGCTTACCTGAAGCTTCATGAGGACTCTAGTGTGTGTGTGTGTGTATATACGCGTTTACAAACATCACAGGTCTATCCTACAGTATTTGGATGAAGTATCTTGAGCTGACAAATGCAATATGTCAGATTAAGTAAGATTGAAATAACAGCTGGAAGCAGTATGTCAGGTACACGTTTAATCAACATTTACTGCAAACTTGATATTTGGCCGTTATCCCCAATTATTTGCAGTCACATTTATCAGTTGATGAAACATTTCTATCCTTTCTTAGTTACTTTCATATTTTCTGCACATTACACTTTTTTCATACTCAGTGTCACTTTGTAAACATGTGTCGTGGCTAGAGTGTGATACCGACTAAATTAATTCAGACAAACCATCCCAATTTAAAGGATCATTTAATATTACAATTATTCAGAATAGAGTAGTATTTAAACACATAATCTTGTAGTTAGGGAACAGAGAACAAGAGATCAGAGAACAGAGACTCTCCTCCTGCAATGTGATAGATAAAGCATAAGAAGACTGTCAGAGCACCAGTCAGTCAAGCCATTTGTTGTTGGTCCCGAGTCAGTCTTAATTCAGCGTCCCCTCCAGCCGGCTGGGTCAGCGTCCCCACAAAGTACACGGTTTACTGTCCCACTAGCATTGTCATCCTCTCTCTCCCAGGCTCACTCTTTTATCAGCAGCTTTCCTTAGGCTATTGCGTCAATTTCTGAACTTAGCTTCCTGTCTCCAGTTTCGGGAGACAACACCCTGAGATGTACTTCAAAAACAGGAAACATCTTGACCAACTTACATAAGCCCATTGTCCAACTCACATGAACTTAATGAACCCATAACCACTCAGCTCTCCCTCACACAACTAGTACAAATAATATCTATATGTGAAGTACATACTGTTCTATTACATATTATCTCTGGAATCTTGTTTATTGTTAACCACTACACATGCTGTGAGATTTGTTCATTCTTCCTTCCACAGCCCCTCCGATGGCTGGTCAGCTTCTCAGAGTCTCCTCTCTGGCCACGGCAGTGTTTGCCTCCTCTGGGTTTTATTTATACCACAGACAACTGGACCTCAATGACCTGAGTGTCGTCCGTTTCGGACGAGCCGCAGCCACTGTGAGTTACTGAACACTTTTTCCCTTCCTCTGGGGACTGTGGATTTGATGCACCCTCACATTTAGTTTATGTTTTTGTCTTGATCCTTTGATCTTTTGTCAGTTTGTCACCAACAAGTCAGAGTCTGCTTTACTGGCCAGGTGTGTCAGACACATGAGGTATTTGACTCTGGTACATTGGCTCTCAATGTGAATGTACATATCCCCATGAAAGGGGCAAATAAACAGTAAACCAGCATAAGGCTGTGTAATATAACAAGACAGGCAAGGAATGCTCATTGTGAAATGATACAGTGGGTACGGAAAGTATTCAGACCCCCTTAAATTTTTCACTCTTTGTTATATTGCAGCCATATGCTAAAATCATTTAAGTTCATTTTTTTCCTCATTAATGTACACACAGCACCCCATATTGACAGAAAAACACAGAATTTTTGACATTTTTGCAGATTTATTAAAAAAGAAAAACTGAAATATCACATGGTCATAAGTATTCAGACCCTTTGCTGTGACACTCATATATTTAACTTAGGCGCTGTCCATTTCTTCTGATCATCCCTGAGATGGTTCTACACCTTCATTTGAGTCCAACTGTGTTTGATTATACTGATTGGACGTGATTAGGAAAGCCACACACCTGTCTATATAAGACCCTACAGCTCACAGTGCA